CTTTGGAGATATTTAAGAGTAGGTTAGATAAATGTCTATCAGGGATGGTCTAGACAGTATTTGGTCCTGCCATGCGGGCAGGGGACTGGACTCGATGACCTCTCGAGGTCCCTTCCAGTCCTATAATCTATGAATAATCCTTTTAAACCCCCCCAAAGAGGAGGCAGCAAATCGTTAGCAGAAGTAAGGGCAGAGAGAGGGCAGTGGCTACAACGAAGGTTACTGGGCATGCTCAGTTCGAGTGAGCATGCTCAGTACACCCAAAGTAGCAAAACGGGAGCGAGAGCACTTTGTGCTGATACACCGGCACCTGTAGTGTATGAAGTTACAATCTGTACATATCAATAACCGCTACAGTCGCACATGGCTACACACACAGTGGTGCATTTGCTACATCAGGGTTTATACAATAGCAATAGATGGGGAGCAGTTTAATACACTCAGCCGGGGTCTCCTTAGTCTAATGATGCAGCAAAACCAGCCCCCCCCCTGCTTTTCTCCTGGTAAGATCCAGCCAGTCTCCTGCCCCCCTCCAGGTTGAGGATTCCCCGATTCCCCGAGTGTCACAAACCCCCTGCGAGGGGCCCGGCGGGGCATGGTCAGGCCCGGAGAGGAGCCGCCTCTTCCTGCCCCCCCATCCCGGCAGTCCGCCCCTTTGTGTCGGCAGCGGGGCCATGGCCGGGGCGGGGAGGGCTGCGTGGACGCTGCTCCAGCCCTGCAGCCCGCGGGGCGTCGCGGTGGGTCCGGGGGCAGCGCGGAGCGGGCAGGACCCGAGCGGGGGGCAGAGACACGCGTGGGGTGGACACGGTCCTGCCGGGAGGGGCCGGGCCCGGCTGCCTGGTTCGCCCCCTGCCCGGGTGGGTCCCCGAGCTCCCCGCGGCCGGAGAGGGGCTGCGGCGGGGGGCGAGTGTCCCGGGCGGAGCGGAGCACCCCTGCTGCGGGGCCGGAGCGACAGAGCCCGGGAGCGGCTGGGCCGGGAGCTGCAGGAGGGGCCGGAGCGCGGCTCGGCAGCAGAGCTCGGAGCCCAGGCTGGGCCCGGGATCGAGGGGATGGGGGAGCTGGGGGGTGGATCTGGGGTATTATAGCCGGGCTGTGGGGTGGGAGAAGCGGCTGGTGCCGCGGAGTGCGGGACTGCTGGGAGTTTGGGGTGTGCTGGGGGGTCAGGGCTGGGGATTGGGGATTTGGGAAAGCTCCATGTTCAGATCTGGCCCTGCGGTAGCATTGGGGGTTGGAGCTGGGGAAAGTGGGGGACTGTCTGAAGTTGGCTGCTTGGGGTGTTGGTGAGGCCCTGGGGATGTGGGGAGCTGGCTGTTGGGCTGCACCTCTGTCACTGCAGCCTGGGGTCCTGCCTTTTCTCTGGAAAAGCTGCTCCCTGTTTCACCATCTCCTCTCAGTCTGAGTCCCAGCGACTCTGCACTGGAGTCTGCAGGGCAGGATGGGCCCTGAAATCTGACAGCTGGGAGGCTGTTTGTAGCAGTTTCTAACTCTACCTCCCCTGCTTCTTCCAGGAGGTACCAAAAAAGCATCTGGCCCCTCTGGGAAAAGAGAGAGAAGCAGCCAAAGCCGAGGAGGAGCGGCACAGCGAGGAGCTGCTGGTAGGTGCCCAGAGCGCCCCGCCACTTAGGTTTGCCTGGCATAAGAATGACATGGTGAATACAGGGCCCACCCTGCCAGCCTCAGCCAGAGAACCATCCCCACTGGAGCCCAGGGAGCCTGTAGGGTCAGATACATGGGTAACATGATGCCCTTAGGATGCAGGAGGCTGCTGGGCAGGAGAAGGTCAGTCTGCGTTAGCCCAGAGCCCCTGCCCACAGGCCATTTGAATGTCACAGTGACTAGGGATCCTTTCTACCTCCTGCGGGGGGGTGGGGGGGAAGTTGAAGGAGATGAAATGTGGGCTGGAGAGATGGTGCATTTGGCTCAGTGCAAGTTGATGAGGTTTTGGGGAGAAGAGTTCCTCCTGTTGGTGATGTGCAGCTCATCCTGGCCCTGAGCCCTCCTCTCTTCCTGGAGAAAATGACATTCACATCCCCCACAGCAGGAGATCCCATGTTCTGGTAAATAACTCTGCCACCTACCCCGAGGTGTGTTTATGATTTTCCCCAGTTACCAAGCAGATGAAATTCAATGTTGATAAATGCAAAGTAATGCACATTGGAAAAGGTAATATCAGTTATGCACATAAAATCATGGGGTCTAAATTAGCAGTTATCACTCAAGAGAGAGATCTTGGCGTCGTTGTGGATAGTTCTCTGGAAACATCCACTCCATGTGCAGCGGCAGTCAAAAAAGCGAACAGAATGTTTGGAATCATTAGGAAAGGCATAGATAATTAGGCAGAAAATATCATAATGCCTCTATATAAATCCATGGTACGTCCACATCTTGAATACTCTGTGCAGATCGGGTTGCCCCATCTGAAAAAAAGATCTATTGGAATTGTAAAAGGTTCAGAATAGAGCAACAAAATGATGAAGGGTACGGAACAGCTTCTGTATGAGGAGAGATTAATAAGACTGAGACTATGACTACATTACGCAGCTTTTAGTGACACGGCTGTGCCGCTACAGCCGTGCTTCTAAAAGGCGCGCAGTGTAGCTGCTCTTTGTCGGCAGGAGAGAGGTCTTCTGCCAACAAAAATCTTCCACCCCCCCACGAGCGGCAGCAGCTTTGTCGGTATGAGAGCGCTCCTGAAGACAAAGCGCTGTTCACCCTGCTGCTTTTCATCGTTAAAAATTTTGTCATTCGAGGGGGGTGGTGGTTAACACCCCTGAATGACAAGTTTTGCCAACAAAGTGCCAGTGTAGACAAAGCCTGAGACTGTTCACCTTGGAAAAGAGATGACTAAGGGGGGGATATGATGGAGGTCTATGAAATCATGACTGCTGTGGCAAAAGTAAATAAGGAAGTGTTATTTATTCCTTCTCATAACACAAGAACTAGGGGTCACCCAATGAAAGTAATAGGCAGCAGGTTTAAAACAAACAAAAGGAACTATTTCTTCACACAATGGACAGTCAACCTGTGGAACTCTTTGCCAGAGGATGTTGTGAAGGCCAAGACATTAACAGGGTTCTAAGAAGAACTAGGTCAGTTCATGGAGAATAGATGCATTAGTGGCTATTAGCCAGGATGGGCAGGGATGAAGTCCCTAGCCTCTGTTTGCCAGAAGCTGGGAATGGGTGACAGGGGATGGATCACTTGATGATTACCTGTTCTGTTCATTCTCTCTGGGGCACCTGGCATTGGCCATTGTCGGAAGACGGAATAGTGGGGTAGATGGACCATTGGTCTGACCCAGTATGGCTGTTCTTATGTTCTATGTTCCCCTGTTACTGAGCCACCCTCTCCCTGTTGCAGAAACAGACAGAAGCCGAAAGGCAGAAGATCATCTGGGAGTGGAAGGAGCTGCAAGGGTTTCTGGAGGACCAGGAGCAGCGGCTGCTGTCCCGTCTGGAAGAGCTAGAGAGAGCCATTGTCCAGAGAAGGGATGAGGGCATCTGCAGCCTGTCCTGGGATATTTCCCTGTTCAGTGAGAGGGGAGGAGCGAAGGGACAGCAGCCACTGAGCCAACCCCTGCAGGTCAGGCTGTTATTGCAATGATCGTACGCAGTGTTTCTATAGGCGCTTCAGAGCCCTAGACCCCAAAGCACTTTACAAAGTGGGGTCAGGGGCATTATCTCTATGGGACAAATGGGGAAAGTGAGGCAGAGGGAGGGGCAGAGCCTTGCCCAAGGTCACACAGTGAGTCGGTGGCAGCACCAAGGATGGGTCCTGGGAGTCCTGGATGCTGCAGTCCCAAGACCTTCTCTCCTTGAAATGTCTGTCTGCATTTGCACTTGGAGGGTGAAATCCCCTCCCCCACCATGTTGAGGTCCCGAGCCAGGCTTAAGACCCCTCTCACTGCAGGTTTAATGGGTTTAGTGGGGCCAGGGGCCTTCTGGGTCTCTCAGCACTGGAGGAAATTTGATTCTCAATGCAGAGAAATATCTTCTGCCTGCAAAGTGCCCGGGAAGAAGATTTCTGCAGTGGCGACCTGCCCGCAGGGATTGCTGGGGCTGCATAGGGGAAAGTCCCGGGTAGGAGGTGGCAGCTGCTCTGGGAATGTAAACCTGAAATTCCCCTACTGCCTGAGGCTTCAATGGTGACTCCCCTGCAGAGCAGGAGGCCTCCCCACCCAGGGACACTCCCACTGACTGCCTCCTCTTTCTCTCCCTCTTTAGGGTGCTGGGAGCACTGGGGGAAGGTAAGTCCTGGGCTCCATTTCCCTCCCTATCATGGGCCGTTAGTTTTGATAACTACACTGAATAGGAAGCTGCCCCCTGCCCTTGGAGCATGTGATTCTGTCTCCCCTAGTGGCTGACTCGGGTAGGAGAAGAGCCGTTTACTGTCTGATCGCTAATGAGGTCACAGCAGGGCTGCTAGACACAGGGCCGATGGGACAGACCAGGCCTGTCTCCTGGACTGATGTGGCCACGTCACGTATTCAGAGGGCGCAGAGTCTCAGCTTTCACATTTTTTAAAGTGAGTTCCTGGGCCTCAGCACCTCCCCAGTGTAAACGGAGACAGTGTTGCCTTGCTAGGGCTGGTAGCAGCCTGAAGCCTTAGCTCTGAGAGCGTGAACTCTCCTGTCCCCTGTTAATGTCATCAGAGTGTCAACTGAAATGACGACACTTTGATGTCAACATTAAACATTCCCTGTCTGATCACTTGATCAGGTGGATCGGGGAGAGGGTGGGAGTGAAGCCTTTGTGGGGTGGGAATAGGGGGTTTCTGTGGGGAAGGAAGAACAGAGGAGAGACACAAAGCCAAGGAAGCAAGAGAGAAATGGAGAAAGGAGGGTGGGAAAGGAAGGGAAACACAGGGAAGAACTAGCAGGGGCCCTACAGGTGTGTCCGGGAGGGGGCTGTTTTCCTCCTGAGTGATACTGAGTGTGACACTTAGCAAATTAAGAACTAAAATTTTATTTCCGATACGAAGGACAGATTCTCCCCTTGTTCCTTGTACATGGGTGTCCCATGGAGAACAGTGGGTGTTCTGCTGTGAATGGAGCAGGGCACAGAATCCTAAATTGATGCCCTGGCTCACTGGCCTTAACGGACAGTACAATATGGCCCTCTCTGCCAAATGAGCTGGACGCCCCAGGGTTACTGCTTTAGCTAAAGGGCTTGGGGGATTTGGCATTCAAGGGCCCACGTTCATTCCCTGCTGAAGACCTGGGCTCTGTCTGTGGCCACTGTCAGCATGTAGGACCTGCCCACTCTTTGGTCTGTGTCTCCTCCCTTTCCACATAATCCCAGTGCTGGTGCCCCTTGTTACTGCAGTAACCCAGTGTGGGAGCTGGCTCAGCACCCCACAGAACCAGAGCATCCCTGAGAAAGCTCCAGAACAATGTCTCCATTCCTTGCTCTAGTTTCTCCCCACTTCCCATCTCGCTGGGGAGCACAGGGTTGAGGTGACTCACCATGACAATGACCATCTCAGCCTACAAAGCTCAGAGCCAGGTTTCCTGGAGTTTGGGGGTTCCTGGGCTCAGGGTCTGGGGTTCAG